AAGCTAATGGCGGCGTCGGCAACCTCGTGCGACTCACGGTTTTCGGTCTGGCGCCGTCGCGAGTGTCAGGTCGACTGACAGACAGCTCTTTCCGATTTTCTCACGGACCACCATCGACATGGAAAACGCCGTGCCGCACGTGGATAGATGCGTCTCTAAACGGGGAATCGAATGGTGAGTCGCTCGTTTTTCTACGATGATGGGCAGTGGAAATATACGCGACAGACTGGAGGGATGTTGTTTTCGCGAGCGTTGACAGAACCTCGTACGGCATTACGGTTCCTAGGCGACTTTTCATACCGAAGACGATCGATTTTTCGGAAAAACGCTAGTGCCCAACCCTAATTTTGGCGCTAAAAGTCAATTACGTCGTCGACAACCTCGTGCGACTCACGGTTTTCGGTCTGGCGCCGTCGCGAGTGTCAGGTCGACTGACCGACAGCTCTTCCGATTTTCTCACGGACCACCATCGACACGGAAAACGCCGTGCCGCACGTGGATAGATGCGTCTCTAAACGGGGAATCGAATGGTGAGTCGCTCGTTTTTCTACGACGACGGGCAGCGGAGATATACGCGACAGACTGGAGGGATGTTGTTTTCGCGAGTGTCGACAGAACCTCGTACGGCATTACGGTTCTCCGGCGGCGTTTTTCGCACCGAAGACGATCGATATTTCGGAAAAACGCTCGTGTCCGACCCTAATTTTGGCGCGAAGAAGCTAATGGCGGCGTCGGCAAACTCGTGCGACTCACGGTTTTCGGTCTGGCGCCGTTGCGAGTGTCAGGTCGACTGACAGACAGCTCTTTCCGATTTTCTCACGGACCACCATCGACACGGAAAACGCCGTGCCGCACGTGGATAGATGCGTCTCTAAACGGGGAATCGAATGGTGAGTCGCTCGTTTTTCTACGACGACGGGCAGCGGAGATATACGCGACAGACTGGAGGGATGTTGTTTTCGCGAGCGTTGACAGAACCTCGTACGGCATTACGGTTCCTAGGCGACGATTTTCATACCGAAGACGATCGATTTTTCGGAAAAACGCTAGTGCCCAACCCTAATTTTGGCGCTAAAAAGTCAATTACGTCGTCGACAACCTCGTGCGACTCACGGTTTTCGGTCTGGCGCCGTCGCGAGTGTCAGGTCGACTGACCGACAGCTCTTTCCGATTTTCTCACGGACCACCATCGACACGGAAAACGCCGTGCCGCACGTGGATAGATGCGTCTCTAAACGGGGAATCGAATGGTGAGTCGCTCGTTTTTCTACGACGACGGGCAGCGGAGATATACGCGACATAAAGGAGGGATGTTGTTTTCGCAAGTGTCGACAGAACCTCATACGGCATTACGGTTCTCCGGCGGCGTTTTTCGCACCGAAGACGATCGATATTTCGGAAAAACGCTCGTGTCCGACCCTAATTTTGGCGCGAAGAAGCTAATGGCGGCGTCGGCAAACTCGTGCGACTCACGGTTTTCGGTCTGGCGCCGTTGCGAGTGTCAGGTCGACTGACAGACAGCTCTTTCCGATTTTCTCACGGACCACCATCGACACGGAAAACGCCGTGCCGCACGTGGATAGATGCGTCTCTAAACGGGGAATCGAATGGTGAGTCGCTCGTTTTTCTACGACGACGGGCAGCGGAGATATACGCGACATAAAGGAGGGATGTTGTTTTCGCGAGTGTCGACAGAACCTCGTACGGCATTACGGTTCTCCGGCGGCGTTTTTCGCACCGAAGACGATCGATATTTCGGAAAAACGCTCGTGTCCGACCCTAATTTTGGCGCGAAGAAGCTAATGGCGGCGTCGGCAAACTCGTGCGACTCACGGTTTTCGGTCTGGCGCCGTTGCGAGTGTCAGGTCGACTGACAGACAGCTCTTTCCGATTTTTCTCACGGACCACCATCGACACGGAAAACGCCGTGCCGCACGTGGATAGATGCGTCTCTAAACGGGGAATCGAATGGTGAGTCGCTCGTTTTTCTACGACGACGGGCAGCGGAGATATACGCGACAGACTGGAGGGATGTTGTTTTCGCGAGTGTCGACAGAACCTCGTACGGCATTACGGTTCTCCGGCGGCGTTTTTCGCACCGAAGACGATCGATTTTTCGGAAAAACGCTCGTGTCCGACCCTAATTTTGGCGCTAAAAAGTCAATGACGTCGTCGACAACCTCGTGCGACTCACTGTTTTCGGTCTGGCGCAGTTGCGAGTGTCAGGTAGGCGGACAGACACCTCTTTCTGATTTTCTCACGGACCACCATCGACACGGAAAACACCGTGCCGCACGTGGATAGATGCGTCTCTAAACGGGGAATCGAGTGTTGGGTCGCTCGTTTTTCTACAACGACGGGCAGCGGAGATATACGCGACAGAATGGAGGGATGTTGTTTTCGCGAGTGTCAACAGAACCTCGTACGGCATTACGGTTCTCCGGCGGCGTTTTTCGCACCGAAGAGGATCGATATTTCGGAAAAACGCTCGTGTCCGACCCTAATTTTGGCGCGAAAAAGCCAATGGCGTCGTCGGCAACCTCGAGTGACTCACGGTTTTCGGTCTGGCGCCGTCGCGAGTGACAGGTAGGCGGACAGAGAGCTCTTCCCGATTTTCTCACGGACCACCATCGACACGGAAGACGCCGTGCCGCACGTGGATAGATGCGTCTTTAAACGGGGAATCGAATGTCCACGATTGATTTACGATTAATTAATTGCAAATTATAGGCCTATGCGCGATTCGATTCTCCAAAGTTGGCCTGCTAAGTTTACTCCTATTAATTACTGTTGTGTTCGTTCACCTGACAACCAGAACCTAACCTCAACTATCACTTTGTATTAAAGCATTGACAACTTTTTCTTGCATAAACCCCATTTTTGTTTCCAGCTATTTAAAGAATCTTTAAATATTTGAATAAAAAAAACGACAAACGCTCGAGCAACGGTTGTGCCGTTTGAAGCTGTGTGATTCCGTTTAATCCCGTGTGATAACGTTTACATGGTTTCACACGGTTCACCCGGAAAACCGAATATACCGGAATACGGGTGAAACGGACTCACACGGGTCAACCGTTCGGTGTACGTAAGCATTTCCTTAAAAATAATTCTAGGCACATGGATTTTGGATGACCGTCTGTCCCGGCTGGCAAGCAAAATACTGTAAATAAATATAAAAAGATAAATAAATTTTAATTATTTGTGAAATAGGTGTAGGTGAGTGTTTATTACTATTTATTGAAGTGTATATTACCATACCATTGAAGAGATTTATATATAATGATCCATTGTTTAAAAGTAGTATAATGTAGAGGATATAAAATATCGAACATTTAAATATTCAAATAACCGGAGAATGAAAATAAATATTAATTAAAAATAAGAAAATGTAGATGATTTGATGTTACGAAAAAAGGTCAAAAATACAAAAATGATAAATATAAAGTACAACGAAAAGATGAGTGAAAAAATTGCAAGCAAGATATAAAACTTCTTTCTTTTGAAATCCTGTATTCTGGAAATCGTGTGGTGAAATGACATCTTTAAATTAGATTTCCTCCAACTCATTTGCAAAAATATGGAGGAAATAATTCAACTATTACTAATGATTTATCATCTACAGAGCGCTTATATTAAACATGTTATTTTAGCCTTCAGATTAAATGCATACTTATTTTATTTTGGATCCGTTATCCTTTTTGAGAGAAAATTGAATCTGAGCTCAAATTATATTTCACAGAGCTTTTAAACTTGATGTCGACAGTAAACACCTCTTTTTAAGCACAAATAAAATTATAAATCAATTAATTCCTTTTTTTCTCAGAACTACACCCTTATATAAATATCATACAATATTCCATTACATAAAATATTTCACTCAAAACATTTCAAAATACTAACAGTCCCTAATATTTTTTTTGCCGCAGTATTAAATACGGTCCTGCTACATTTTACATATTATTCATTGACCATCACTCCACCTACGTAATAGGCAACCCACTAAACATTACATATTACACAACCAGAACCAGCGTCAGTTCATTTTTTTGTGCAGTTCACCATAATATAACCTAGAATTTTACAGTGTACCATTTATATTTTATGATAGTACATATGTAGATATATTATAATAAACGAGTGTACTTTTGGATTCATGAAATTTATGAGCTTTATGATATAATTTAATACAGAGTATAGACGTATATGAAGCAAAAAATCACCTTATCATTGAAATTTAGGTAGGTATCTTATAACTATGTTATTAATGAATAAAATTTACATTGATTTTAGATCTACTAATGGAGAACTATAGTAAAGGAAAAAACGTGGAAGAACCATTAGAACGAAATAAAATACCAATAGCCAATCTTCCAGAAAATTTTTTATGGATGCAGGTATAGTACAAAATCAAAGTAAGAAATGCAATCACATAAACCATTTAATGTGATCCTAAACTTGAAAATGGTCCGATCAAATAAATAGTGTTCTATTGGATATTATTTACATCTACCTTTAAGGCAATGGTTACCAAAGATGGGGGTTGATGCGTCAACTTTTATTGTCAGCCTCGACCCTTCAACAATACGTTAAGTATGTCGACAACAATGTTGTCAATGGGCAAATAATGTAAACAATTTCAAAGGGATTATCTTGATATTTTGGTGTTGTTTGTTATATTTTTTTACAGTTCTTATAATCCCTTTATCGTAAATGTGTTTTTAAATTATGAGTGGTCTAAGTACAATAAAAATGTTAAAAATCTAGAATTTGATTTAATAAAAATAAATGACAAGCTTGCCGCTAAGTGAAATTTTTGTAAGGCTGTTTTAAAAAGACAGTGGAGCAGCAAGGTTTATTTTTATTATGTATAAATAAATAAATAATAAATCACACCACAGAAATTGACATTCTCCCTCTAAGAGTCATTATGATTGGGCAGAGGGAGAATACACATGAAAAATATATAGGACACACAACCAAACCCTGTGACAGGTGCCAATTGCCACAGGCGGGATTCGAACCCGCGCGGATAAAAGCTCTCGGAATAATCACCATCTTCTCACTTGGCACTTGACCCACTGAGCTATCGCCACAGCTTGCACGACATATTTAATTAGAGATTAGTGCACAACCTTTTGCCATACCTTACTTCTTATTTCGGTTATTACTTGGCATATATCGGCTCTGGTCCACAAACATTCCAGTCCAACGTTCAGTGATTATGAGCTAGCTTGACACAGTGGTGTGTTGGACGTCGTTAGACTACTGATAGGAAGGCTGTGAATTGATTCTTGTCATTGTTTTGTTTTTTTTTTTTCAATTTAATTGAATTTGGATTTTTTTTTATAAATACTGGTTGAATTGAGTAGATAGATAACATACATTAACAGCACTTTGTTCATTTGTATAGGTTCTAGAAATATTTTTAAGTAGTTTACTATATGGACATTATTGACATTCTCGACGTACTGAAAATTGTTGGCATCGACATCTAAATGGATGCCTTGAAAATACAATTGTGGACATAATATTGTTGACATCACCCATCTCTGGTTGTTACTAAGTGAAACTGTATATAGTTATTTAAGGATACAATCAAATTGTAGGTAAGAGGTGGGAGCAAAATCAGAAACCTCTTAACACACGCCCTGAATGAACTTCCTGAAGTAAAATCAGTATTATGGACAGGCTTCGGCCCATCTGTAGGCAAAGCTATAACATGTGCAGAAATTATGAAGCGTGAATGTAATAATTCATTACATCAAATCGCAAGACTATGTTTTCGACAGTAGGAAATGTGAAATATATAAGAAATATGAACTATTTACCAAACCAAATATGATTTCAGGGTAGAAGAATATTGGGATCCACTAAAGCCTGAGTTGGATCAAATTGTTGTGAAAAGGAAGCTGCCAATGATACATATACTTTTATCTAAGGATGCCCTAAATACAGACGAATTAGGGTATAATATAATACTTATTAAAAGTCATTATATGTCATGTCTGAAAACAAATTTGAAAAACTGCTGATTATTTAATTTTTCTAGTTACCAAGCTCCTGATGTTTTCATCCCCTACAGAGCTAATGAGAACAACTCTAGAAATAGGCGTTTGAATCCTTACAAAAGACAGTTTAATAAAACACCCACTAAGGAATTTGCTGCATTGAAAATGCAGGGAAAGAACACAAACAAGCAGGCAAAGCAAGCAGACAAATCAAAAAACTTGGCCAGTAGTAGTAACAGTAAAGACTAAATAGACAATTATTTTACTTTTGTATGCATATTTTTATACTATACATATGTACTTAATTCGTACCTACCTTGAATTTATAATTTTAACTAAAAATTATAACAATAAAAATTAGAACAATAGAATTATTGTAATGGACTCTGAATGGTGTGTTTGTGGAAGAATTTTCTAAAATAAAATTTTCTTGAAAATTTTACACGTTTCTCCAGAGTTACACCGTTCTTAAAGTACTACCTTCATGCACACTTCGCAGTTTTTAAAATATAATTTTTTTCGCAAAAGTGCACAAAGAAAAGAACAATAGAACATATATATAAGGAATGAGCACTAAGAGTGTTCCACATAAGAACCGATACAAAACAAAAGTGTGTAGGAGAACCCAAAATATAGTGATTTAACACAACCTACTTCTATACCAAATTGCACCACTGAGGAATTATAGTTTAGAGAAACCTCTAAAGTGAGGTTTCGCATTTGCAAAAAAATTAATATATGTAACACTTTGACTTAGAAGAACCAAGTTTGGTATTCTGTGTGGGTACATTAGGGGTATCAATTGATACCCTTGAGAATTGGTGAAAGTCAACCGAAGCATTCTAAGGGTTGATTGGGGGTTTAAAATTTCACAGAATTTTGAGTTTGTAAACTTTTTTTCTGTTGGCTTACTAAATAAATTATAATTAATTTTGTGAGGAATCTAATTCTAAAACTTTTTTTTAATCATTATTTTTCAAAAAACTTTTCGAATAACTCAAGAAATGTCTAGATAAATTTCTAGTACTAATTTGTGGTTCATCATCAATTGTGTCCAAAATAAATTCTTCGTCTTGCACCCTGATTTCAAGGGGGCTTCTCAAGTCTTATTAGAAAACTTTCCTGTCTCTTGAGCCCGTCTTTCAACAATGGAAAAACTTTATTTATGGGGAACAAGGCAGTCAGGAGATCTCCTTCGATATTCTTTCAAACTGCAGTTTCCTTCACAAAAACTTATCACATGAACTTTAACCATGAATTATTATTATTATTATTATCTCCTTTATGGAATTCATTTTGTATTCACTCTAGTTCACATCTCCATACTTTTCTTAAACAAAAATTATTTTCCTTTCTGTTCGAATATACATAATTCGAAAAGCAGTCTAAGCACACAATCATTTGAAATTTATTTTTTCTTAACTAAACTGCTCATCTAATAAATATTTTGCAAGAAGTAAAAAAAAAAAAACTTCGGAACCAAGAAGGCTACTCAAAAAATAAATCTAGCCATTATTCACATAATAACAAAATATAAGTAGTAAACTACACTTGACATTCATTATTAGATGTTTCTATATTTTCAAAATCACCCTTTATAGTACTAAAAAACGTCAATTGAAGGCCTAAAACCGTATTCCAAAAATGGTCAAATTTGATAGCCACATTTTAGAGTTATTAAAGAAAAACTAAAAGTTTTCTGGAAGTTGCGGCCCTCTAGTATCTAAACGAAGCAACTTAGGCTATATGCAAGTTGATCTATGTAAATCGTTTTCTTTTGGGACAAGAAATCATTGGTACTACATTGTACACTCAATACTCAAAACTGCAAGAGGAGGTTTCTAAAGCAATCTATAAGTTCATCAAAAACAAAGATGTCATCGTAAACAGATTTTGCTGAAATAGGAAACCTTTTTGAAGCACCATTGAAGAGAGAACATCTTTAGAAAGAGATATATTTAGACACAATACAGCAAGAATGCTAATCTATCAGATGTGCTCTATCCGATATCATATATTTCATTAAATGTTTTACACTGGTTAAAAAGTTAAAACCATTTATAACCTTTTCAGTTACTATAAAAAAACATAAATAGAAAGAAGAAAACAGGAATGTTACATTATCTTTTTTTTAACCCTTAAAAGTGTTTGGTTGTGTTACAAGGAAAAACACATAAAACATCTTTTCTTGACACATATTTTGACAACCTTTTCTTTATATTTCCATATAAAGTAAAAGGTAATAAGTAAAGAAAATAAGTTCAAAAACAGAAAACAACTTTAAGATTTCAAATCATATACAATCATAATTATCTTCTCCGATTAAGTATTTATTTAGTTTTCATCTTACAAACTACAATAAAAAACAATAATTTTTGATATACGAAAGTAAGACACAAATTAGCTAACCCTCAAAAGTAGGTGGGGGTGGTGGCGGCCCTCTTGGAGGGAACGGCGGCCTTCCAACAAAATTGGGTGGCGGCCTCCAATTGGGTGGAGGAGGTCTGCCTCCAGGGGGTGGTGGTGGTGGGAACATTCCTGGAAAATGTGGGGCACCACTTGTAGGTGGTCCAGATCCCGGGGGTCCAGGAGGTGGTGGTGGCATGGCCCCAGGACCGGTGGGTCCAGACCATGGAGGAGGAGGCGGCATCATGCGCGGCGGCGGAGGAGGACCCCTGGTCCACTGGAATTTAGAGGCATCGGTGGAGGAGGCGGCCTTTGCGGGGGCCCTGATCCTGCTGCTATTGGGGGAGGTGGAGGAGCACCAGGGGGCAACGGAGGCTGGGATGGCGGCAGAGGTGGGGGAGGAATACCAGCAGGGAATGAACTTGGAGGAGGTACAGGTGGTGGAGGAGGAGGATGCATATTCGAAGGAGTTGGAGGGGGTGGGGGGCATCATTCCCGTTATCATCACGGGTGGAGGAGGCGGAGCGATCGACATGGGCATCATACCCATTGGGGGGAGCGTCTGCGAAAAGCTGATGAGGTCTGTCGGCTTGCGAAAGAGGGTTCTGAGCAGCCAGAAGTCGTTCCGCTGCAGAGCCATGTCGCTCGCCTTTGGAGTCTTTTTTGAAGGCATAAGAGACAGATATGGGACGGTTGCAAAGATATTGCCCATTCATAGCTTCTATGGAGGCGTCAGATGCCTCAAAACTTGCAAAGTTAATGAATGCAAAGCCCTTTGAGTTACCAGTTTCTGGATCTCTCATTATCTAAAAGAAAAAGAAAAATTTACACTAAAAGAATGTGTGTTAGGGGTATACAATACAGCAATGTTTCTCAAGGGTTGTGCCGAGGCACATTAGTGTGCCGCAAAATTCTCCAAGTGTGCTGCGAAATCTTCAAAACAAATCTAATGTCATTTTTATTTTAACACCATACTCAAAATATACTGACTATGACTATGTGGACTGAAACATTAGATTAGTATGAAAAATAATGGGTTAGTGATTCCGCTAATTTGTTCAACTCTAGTGTTAAATAGGAATATTTCCCATTTCGGTTACAATGTAGTGTGGCATTTTGTAAAATCTTCAATTTTCCCCAGACTTCTTCAAATATTCAGGGATGTATCACACATCTTCAAGATTATCACCCCTCTCTCTTATTTTAATGTAAACATGAGAAAATGCTTGAAGAGCTCATGTGAACATTTGGAGGTGTAGGTAAAACTTACATAAAGTAGATCTAAAGAATCATCCACTTCAAATGTTATTGATATTATAAAACGTTATAGGACATTTCGTTATCATAACAGTATAAAACAAAGTCAGCTTCCCGCTGTCTGTCCCTACCTATATATGCTTAGATCTTTAAAACTACGCAACGGATTTTGATGCGGTTTTTTTTAATATATAGAGTGATTCAAGAGGAAGGTTTATATGTATAATACATGCATAATATAGTACAGAAACACTGATAATTTTAGAGGTCTCTAATGTGATGTCGCAAACCGTGCAAAGCCGGGCGGGTCGCTAGTTGATATTATAAAACTAATCATATGGATTTATAAAGACATGGATTATTATTCCAGTGCAAGGAAGTAAGATGAACCTGAGATTAATATCACAGTAATACAAATTTGTAGG